CCATGTACTATATTAATGTTACTATAAACTATATTTGAGTAATGATAAATAGTACCATTAACATTAAAACAAAAATCATGACCACTATAATTACCATGATCAATAAGATCATCATGATCAATAAGACCATCATGATCAATATGACCAAAAACTGACAAATTAGAAGGACGACAATAAATTGCATACTCATAATTATTATTAATAACATAACTGAATTGTGCAGTATTGATATTATTTCTATTAATAATATTAAAAATAAAACTTTCAGTTATATTTTTATATACACCATTTCCATTCCAATTTAGTGGATTATAACCACCAACTATTTGCTCTGAGTTTTGTATTTTACCAACTGAAAGAGTTTTGTTGACATTATTACATTTTTGATGGAATGTTGCTACATTTAAACCATCTCTGCTACTATGATATAGAAGTTTGAATTCATATTTGACTTCCTTGAATGAAGTGTATGGTGAACTTTTCCTATCAATCCAGCTTGCAAAAAGCAATGTAAGCTTTTGATTGATTGTCAATGATTCAAGTGTTGAGTTGAAATTTGAAATTCTTGATGGTAATAAATTTAAAGTTTGTTGTCTATCAGGATACAAATGAGATTGTAAAAGGGATTTCCATAAAGTCCTAGGAAAAAGTATATCATATGGTTCAATTTTATTAAAAAAATCATCTTTAGAAATATCCTGAAATCTTATTAGAGAAAAAAAATTTTTTAATGTGTTGCCTAAATCACCAAAATTTTGTAAGGACCAATCTTCAACATTGATATTATTGATTTCAGGATGCCTTGCCAATCCCCATTTAAGCATGCTTTCCCAAATAACTATCTCATCAACAGAAAAATCATCTCTCTTGAGAATTTCCAATAGAATTGGTTTTTCCAATGATATAAATTCACTTGATTTAAATAATTTTTCACTATATTCATAAAACTTTTCCAAATAAATATTTTTCAATTCATTAAAATTTTCATTATCATAAATCAATTGTAGAATTTTAACTGGATTTTCTTTTATATAATCCTCATAATTTTCAATAAAATGTTTCATTGTATATTCATAAAGCAACTCAATACCAAGTTCATTTGCTGCAGTTAATAGTTCCAATACTTCAGCACCAGAATAATTTTCTAATTCAATTTTACATGTATATAAAAATCTTACAAAACAAATAAATTATTAAGCAGGTCATTATTAAATAATAATAAATAATAAATTAATATAATAATAAATTTATTTAAGCTTACTTGAGAACAGTTTCAAAAAAATTTTCACTGATATTAATTTTCTTAATGATATAATATCCATTTTCTTTTGTTACATCACTTAATGCATTGTTAAAAAATGGACAATGAGCAGATATGATATATGCATGTGCATGAACTTCTTTAATGTCTGGCTCTACACCAACATATATTTTTACATCATAAAAATTTTCAGTATTCAACAACCTCTCATTTTCATTGAAATATTTTTCAAATGTTGAGTTCATTTTTAAATTTTTTTTTTCAAAAAGAAATGAATAGCCAATCATATGTTAATAAAAATTCACCCCATATTGTAAATGGATGAACAATATAATTTTACATGTGTATGTTGTATGTGAAATTGAAATATTAAGCAAGATTTTAGCAGTGAGCCTTTTTATGAAATTTTTTGTAATATACAAAAAAAAAAATTTTAAACCTGAGATTCTCATATATTGTTTTTGCTATTTTTAAATTTGACCAAGACCTGGTTTACACTTTTTATACTATAATTATTCTGTTTAATTTTAGAGTAATAATTTCCTTACCTATACTCAATGGTGTACTACTTGAAATTTTTTGTCATTAATTCCCATACCAAAAGCATTATAGTTGCAATCATGATCTGATTGTGTCATCTCCACATTATTGTAAACTTCCTAATGATATGTAAGGTATTACTTTGAATTTCTAGATAGGGTTGTTGATGGTCTGGTTGGGTCAGAGACTGCTCAGCCTAATCAAAGAACTAGTCCATTGGACCAGTCCAAGACTGCAGTCCAGACTATAGATGAAATTTTACTATAATACTAATCTTGTGCTTGGTTCAATGGCTTTATCCTACAATCTTACATGATCCATTAGTTGTTGGTTTATCTTAACTATTTTTATCTTGCAATCTTACATGATCCATTAATTATTTTATCCTACATTCTTACATGATCCATGTGTGGTTATCTTTCTTAGATATATTTATGATGTTTTAATAATTAATTGTTGGTTACAATCAACAATTGGCTTTGATACATGTTTAAAATTTGTGAAATTGAAAACCAATAAAATTCATAGATTTATTTCACAATTATAATATAAGGCTGTGTAAATTTTTTTTTCTTCTCAGAGACTACATATTAATTTTCATTATTTTTAAATAAAAATGCATAAAATTCAAACCCTCTTAACTTTTGAAGGAAACAATTTATAAGTTTTTAAATTAAAGACACACATTATTGAGTCATCATCAAATGGAGATATGATGCCCTTTTTTTATTAGTTAATATGAAAATAAAAAAAAAACTCTCCATATTTTCATTTGATGATGACTCAATAATGTGTGTCTTTAATTTAAAAACTTATAAATTGTTTCCTTCAAAATTTAAGAGGGTTTGAATTTTGTGTTTCACTATAGTGATGATCATGCAACTTCAAACCACTAAGATTCTCCATTTTTGCAATCTTTAGAACCTGAGCAACAATAAATAGTGAGTTTTTTTTAAAGTTGCACATTTGATGCACTGGATCCACTGTGACACGTACTGTAGATTATGTCGATCATTTTATTTTTTTATTTTTTTACGACATCGGATGATAATTTATTTATTACTATATTATTAAAATAATAATTTTTTTAAATTCCCAAAATGCATCAATTATTATTTAAAAAAGAATTAGTAATTCGTCCACTACTACAAAGACCTTTAATAGCAGCCTTCTCACCAATCTCTTCGTCACAATCACGTTATTATACTGGTAAAACTGAAGGAAACATTCGTGCTGGTAAGACCGTTTTTTCAACGAAAGAAAAGGCTATTGAAGATCAATGGATTAAAACTCATGTATGTGTTTGTGAATAACCAAGGAAATTAATAACGATTATTAATGATCTAATATTAATCTGAATTTTTATAGGACGCTGAAAAAATAAAACATCTATACGAAGAACTTATGAAACAAAAGAAAAAAATTGATGAACTTGAAGGACATATTGACGAAATTAAAAGTAAAAAAGAATAGTTAATTATTATTTTTACATGCTGTAAAAGAATAAATTCAATCCAATTTATAATTAAGCTTTTAATATAACAAATAAAGAACCTTATTCTTTATATCATAATATTTTTAATAATTGATTATAAAATATATTTTGATTTTATTACTGGCATTGATAATAATTTTGATAAACTTTAATAAATGCTGAATTATACAAAAAAAAAAAACAATTTCAAATAAAATGTTTTTAATCTAAATAAATAAATAAAAATTAATTAATTAATTAATACCACTAATACTACTACTAATAATGTATAATTATGATTTTTTTTTTAATATTGTTTTTTTTATTTCCTTTTACTTTTTTCATTTATCACTGCTACATCTTCCTCAGACGTTTCTCCTTCTTCCTCCTCTTCACCTTCATCATCATCATCATCATCATCATCATCATCATTATCATCATCGTCGTCGTTGTCGTCATCGTCGTCGTCGTCATCGTCATCGTCATCACTATCCTCCTCCTCCTCCTCATCTTCTCCCTCATCTTCTTCCTCATCATCATCATCATCTTCTTCTTCATCGCTTTCTGAAGTTTCATCTCCAATAGAATAATATTGCAGATCTATATAATGCAGATAAATTATTAAAAATTAGTAATTTAATAATATAATAAATCTAATTTATATATTTATGTGCGTGAATGTGGGAATAATAATTAATACCTGATTTTTCTTCAGAAGTTTCTTTATCTGATTCATAAAATCTTTCAAGATCATAAACATCTTTACGTTTACTAGTATATTTTTTGTCATAAGCGGAGAACGATGATGATGATGGTGGTGGATAATGAGCATAACCTCCAAATGAATCACTCCCAAATCCTTTTATCACTTGACTTTTATCCCAGTATTCATCCTAATAATAATAATTTATAAATTAATCAAGATCCTAGTAATATTATGAAATATATTATCGTATTAATAAACTAACCGCCGTGTTACGTAAAGATCCATCGGGTTTTTCAGTTGGCCAATCAGGAATTGGTTCATAGCCAGGTATAGTACGATTAAGTACAAGAGCCATTGAACCAATAGTAAAACGATCACGTCCTAAAAATTAAAATGTTTTATTTTTTAAATAATAATTTGTTTATACTATATATAATATAAATTTAATAATTAATTTACCAGCTGATGCACTTTCTTCAGAAGGAGCTTCCTTTTCACACAAAAGTATTGTTTTCAATTTATCCTTTAGTATACGGCTTTTATTTGGTTCATAGGAAGAAATTTGTAAATCATCTTGTTGCTGTTGTGCACCACTAACATTATTGCTGCTGCTACTGCCATCACCATCACCACCACTACCATCATTGTTTTCATTATTATTATTATTATTATTATTATTGTTCGTTATTATCAAACCTCTTAAAAGTCTTGCTCGATCTCTAATATCATAGTTAAGATCATATCTTGCAAGATTCAAAATATATTGGAATAACAGATTAAGTGTTTGGTGATGTTGATTTGTTGGATAAAGTGAAATAAGTTTGGCACCAAGATTGATTATTTGTAATTTAGCAATATCTGCTTCGTTGGTGAAAGATTTTGCTGCTTTTCTTAACACATCAGGTGCTATTTTTTTTAAATTTTCTGCATATTGACCAACAAGCCAAAATATGCTGGCTCTAGCCATTGGTACAGTAATTTGATCTAAAGCCTTAGCTAGTTGTATAATCAAATCTGAATTATCTTGAGGTCTCAATTGTAAAAGTCTTTTGATCACCACAACTGATTCTGCCACAACAGCATCTACAATATGAGTACAATATGTGTATGTTAATTAATAAATTATGGGTCATATTTCTTTCCTGTAAAGAATTTTATGGGATATTAATGATAATAATTTATAAAAATGAAAACTAACCCACCATTCTTGCTCCACAATAATTTCATTAGGCCATTAAGGCAACTTTCGGCCATTTCAGGCATTCCTATTGCACAACGTCCAATTGCTTGAATTGCTGAGGTTGCAAAATCTTTATTTGGACTTTTCACGTATTCCTAAAATTAATTATAAAATATTTGATGTTGTGAATATTTATTCGATGTAAAGAATAATTTTTTGGCATTTATTTTTATTTTTTTTATTTAATCTTAAATTAATTGATTGACTTTACTTGTAATTCTCTTAGTAAAAGTGTAATATTAGTTTCAGTTGCGATTAAGGTCATTATTTCCAATTTAAGATTACGAATAAATGATGGATCTGTTGATCTAACAAAAAATTGCTGAAGATGCTGTTCAAAAAGATACTATATGTATGTAATAAATAAATTAGAACAAAAATTTAGTAAATTCAAAAATTGTTAGAATTTAATTATTTATTTTATAAAAAATAAATAATTATTTACCGGTCTTTGAGTTGCCATAGTAGCAATATTTGCCAATACAACATGTTGAATTTCGCGATGACTACGTAAAAGTCTTACTAAAGGTTTGCCTATTTTGTATGCTTCTTCGATTGGTGCCAAATGATATAAAACTTTTACTACTGACATTACTACCTAAACTTACAAATTAATTAATCAATTAATTATACATATCACAAATATTTGTTATACAGAAAATGATTATGTAATAGTAATCTTACTGCACTATTTCTACTTTGAAGAAGCGGCAAGCAAGACCTTAATATTAATTCATGATCTGGATCAAGAATCAATGTATTTTCAAATGATTCTTCGGAATTTTCAGAATCTTCTTCGTCCGAATAAAAATTTTTGGACTTTTTCTTAACTGAAGATTTTATTCCCTGAATATTAAAAATTGTCACAATAATTAATTATTGAATTATAGATTTTAAACCAAATATACATACATACATACATACATATATATATATATATATATATATAATTACTAACGTTTGGATTTGGATTTAAAAATTGTGTCCTTCCATATCTTAATAATAATCCCATGATAGCAATTTGGCCCCATTCATCTGCATCAATTAACATTCGACATAATTTTCGAAAATGTGGATGTATCAGATCAAATCTATCAGGACAGACTTCATCAAAAGCTATTATAACACTTCCTAATGTAAACGCTGAATTATCATTTAAAAGAGTTGTTATGATTTCAACTAAAGCATCTTTTTGTGTAGGATCTAAACTAAACAATAATAATATAAATAAGTAAATAAATATTAATAATAAATAAAAATCAATACATTGTAAATAAATACCTGTAGCATTTAGGAATCGCATGAGCAGCAGCTTTTCTAACATAAGGTGATAAATCATTTACACATTTTTTGATGGCCAATAATACTATTGGACTTATCACTGGTACTCTAATACCAGACATTACTCTTAATGCCATTGCTCTTATCAATAAATTTTGATCTGTTAAATCTTTTTGAAAAGTATTGATTGACAACAATGCAAGATCAGGCTCTTGTTCAGCATAACGAAGCAAATATATATAAACTAATTTTCTAATTTCAAGATTTTGAGATGCAACATTCTTTACAACATCAGGAAAGAATTCCGACAGGTCGCGCCCTTTCGATATTAACTAATTAATCAATTAATAGCAGATTAATATTAGCGTAACTAATGCCAGTTGATTAATTAATTGGTAACATTATTAATGATATTTACTTACTGCAATCAACCTTTTCAATCCATCCATTTTTTCACGATCGTGTCTTGAATCTAATAAACGTCTAATATCTCGCATTTTCTCTTCAGAGGTCTCAAAATAATGATTAGAAGAAGTAGCCTCCAAACCAAACTCACGTGCATTCTCTACAAGTCCTTCCGATACTTTTTTTGATAATTTAGCTGCATTTTGAGCGATTGCTGCAGCTTTAGAAAAATAATAATCAGTCATTAATTTTATATAATTTTTTTTTTAACGTAAATAAAGAATCAAAAGTCGCACACGGACGGTTCCTTGTAGGTTTCAATATTTTGTGCAACAATTTTAATTTTCTATACCCATTTAAAGTAGGGATGTTAATCAGTCCTTTTAGGACCAGTATTTTTCAGCCCTCTTTTTTTATATATTAAATTTCGCATTCCCGCAACCTAATTAGTCAATCAAATTGATTTTAGGAATAATAAATATACGTAACTTGGATTTCCTTTGTTCGATAATTAATAATTAATAATAAAAGAATAATTATAATAATGCGTGAATAGTTGTAATCCAAAATTCCTAACGTTGATCTGATTTTAAAGTGACTTTACAGATCAATATCCCAGTCGCAATAAATAGCCAACTCTTCTTTTCATCAACTAATTCATTCGTATTGCTTTCGTTGATTTATTCAGAAATGTTTTTCTATCAATTGTCCAATATGGAGTCGACATTATAATAAATAATTTATTTTTGATCTAGACACAACTTATTAACATATTGCTTGCCAATGAATTAGCGAATTAGATGGTATGTTGAATTTTTCAATACCCTACATCATGTGCGCTAATTTTGTTTGATCCCCAAAATCCAGTACGGTATGATCATAACATTATGAATACTTTATACTAGCAAAAACCCATTGTTTTTGAGGTGAGGCCATTGGTTTGACGGGCTGTTGAATAGTAAAATAGTTTTTTTGGCGGAGCAAATAAATTCTTTTAGGGTTAATTATCATTTTACTGACCAGTTTACACATTAAAAATACTCGTGTTTAACATAGAGACACACAATAAGACATAAGGTTTGAAAAAAGGCCCGAAAAACCAAATCGGCTGATATGTTAACTTAGTGCCCAAATATTTAATGCCAAAAAAATTTAACACTAAACTAACTATCATAAATAATAAATTTAGTATATTTATATTTATTATTATTATTCAATGATTTTATTACGATGTTAACATTGATGCTTTATTATTCCTTTGACAAGGTTGAACCTCTTACTACTGTGGTCAAATGTTTGGTTTATATCCATTGCACTATATGACTTTTTTTCTCTAGAGGATATTAATTACCAAATAATAATAATAATAAGTAATTTATCCATTGATTTATTATTAAATAATGATGATTTAATGGCCACTTTAATATTAAACTTTTTTGATTAATTAATAATAACTCGGCATCATAATAAAAGATAATAAAAATATTTATCGTTAAATCAATGCAAATTTATTCTATTTTCTTAGATGTTGGAATCGGTCAAAAAAACTTTAGTCGATTACCAGTTGGCCAGAAATTCCTATAGTCGACCAAATTGGGCTTGGACAATAAAAAAGTGTTGAAATAAAAGCAAGTTTGAGTTAAAACAACACATATACATAATTTCTTGTGCAGGAAATTTTTGGCTTAGCATACCCACTTTGCGTAAAAATACACTGTATATAATATACACGTGATAATATAATTATATTTTATTAAATATAAGTAGATTCCTATATATTTCTATAAGCCCTATGCAAAGTTTGCACACTTAAAACATACTTATCATACCATTAAAACACACTTAATTTAAGTAGAAATTATTTGGTGTTTTGGGCATTCTCGTTTCTTGCAAATTTAAGTAGAAAATAAGCATGATTTTCTACTATTTATTTCATACTTGAACTATATACTTAAATTACGCTTAAACTATACTTATACTTGATTTATACTTGACATTTTATTTATTTTTTTAAATACAGATAAATTTTATAAATAGCAATAATGATGATGATAATTATAATAAAGTAATAACTAATTTTTTTTCTTTAATTGTTGTGTGAAAATAACCCATTGTTTAACTATGAAACCATTTTGGAAGAAATATTAATTACAATGTTATATATATAATAATTATTATTAACAATTATTAATAAAGGCGTGAAAAAAAATTCTGATTTTGGAATAAAACATAATAACTATGGAAAAAAAATATGCAAATTGCATATTGTAAAGGCTCGTCTCTGAACTTTTGGTAAACTGAATTTTTGGGGAAGGATGAGAGCAAAATTGAAATACGAAACATTTTGGTGAGCAAATCTTTTTTTTTGAAAAAATGTAAAATGTTAAAAAACCACGATACATTTGTTTACATGTTTGTTCTTTCTACTTATTGTTATTAATTAAAATTGTGTGGTGATGATTTCTTTCTCCCTAGATTATTTGTTAAAAAAAAATAGCGCGAGTTGTAATTTCTGCGATTCTGAAAATTATTTTTATCGTGTCACGCGTTACGAAAACCGGTTTACGTCGTGTGATTGTGCAAAAAGAAGACCGGGAAAACTCTATTGTATGTGACCGCCAAATTAAATGACAATGCGAATCTTAGTTTTTTATAATCATGCGAATCGATTTTCCGAACATTTTAATTAAAAATTATTAATATTGCGAATAGAAATAGCCGAGGACGTATGAAATTTATCTTTATTGATTATTAAAAATATTTAAAAGAAAGTTTTGTGTACTTGACTGACTAAAATGATCATAAATTAAAAATGTTTCATCATCTACTTCAATCTAACAAGGATTAATATCTAATATTAGAATAAGAACATATTCCAAAAAATAAACTACTTCTCGTGGTGTAATATGAATCGTAATGTCTCTTGCAAATTCTTGAAAGTTAGGGTATGTAATAAAACGTTTTTGGCGTGAATCATAAGGAATTTTTTTATTATTTTTATTATGACTTTTCATTTTTAAATTTTTAAATTTTATTAATAATGCAAATCAACTCTAACCGACAAATTTTTTTTCTTCGAATTATATATAAAAGCGGCGACCTTTTCCATCCTATCAATGCGAATCAAGCATAGTGGGCTTAAATTTGATTGGTTGACGCTTAATGAAATTGATTATTACGCCGATCATTACTATTAATCAATTTTTTAATGTTATCCTCAAGAATAAAACCATCTTTTTCAAAATTTCAAGACAATCAAATGACTTTATTGGCAGTATTTATATGCATAATTTATCAAAATCTAGATTGAAAACTTCTATTGCCATCATAATGAATGACAAACTTGAAAAAAAGTATATTCCCATGTTGAATTGAATATTTTTATTCATAAAAAAATATTTATAGATCTTGAAAGCTTGCATTGAACCTTGCATCTTGTCATTACTTAAGTGACATAAATTACACTATTAATCCTTTTTGCATAATGAAAGAATTTCAAATATTATATCGTTAATATATTAATGGTGTTTTATATATTTAGGATTATGTATGTTCTACCTAATGAACAACTCGAATGAGTCAAAAAATGAAAAATGGACAATTTATTGTTATTATTTTATTTTTGTGTAAATTTAATAAAGGATTCAAGTAATTCAATTAATTATAAAATTATTCCTTTAACTGCACTTTTTTTCTTGTTCATAATCGTTATTATCGAATCTGAAGAATGAATGATACCAGAAATTTTATTGGCCTTGCAGATCCTCAGATTTTTAATATGCAGATCTTAAATTTTAATCTAGATCACAGAATCCAATTTTTTTAATAATGACCATTATAGACTTTTGATTTATACTATATTTGCCAAATTGCATAATAATTATGGTTTACCTAATGGTATGAGAATTGTAAGGAATGTAAAAATCATATGCAGGTTTCTTGAAGTTGTTGTGCAGTTCAATTTTTATCATTGGAAACTGATTTCTTGTCACAAAAATCACAATTAGAAGAATAGTAGAAAATACAGGACATAAAATGGAATATCACTATGAATTAAAAGTTCGCCAGAAAGAACTGTAATTATTCATTTTAAAGAATTACAGGTAACAGTATCACTTTGTAAATTAATTAATTGACAAGCACTAAATTAACCAACAAGAGTAGCCCAAAAGTTAAGCATATGTGCTAAATAATCATAACAACCAAAAGACCACCTTGCAATATCACCATCATTTAACAAAGAATTAAAAAAAACTGTAAAGTTTATTATAATAGGTGCAACATAAGACATAATTCCATAGATTTTATCAACTGGTTCACATAATCATAATCATGTAATATAACAATTACCTCCTTGCAATAATATATTACCACTATGTAAAATCACTATGGATTAAATCTTTTTCATGTAATGCATTACGTAAATAATGAAGGGTCTAAATCATTATTTGTAAATAATTTGTATAGAATTATTTTTTAAACAATAATAAAATTACTAGATAATCTCATCTATCCGAATGTTTCTAAACATAAATGGCAATAATAATGTAAATCGTTACGTTAATAGGATTTGTTTGTGTGTATAAACATTCCAGAAAATACTATTTATTTTCATCATGTATTATAAATTCATCTTCATCAATATTATTATTATTGTACTGGTGTTCTCATCAACTTCAACTTATTCTGCTTTAATTGAACAAGATATTAATTTTGCCT